TTTGGGTATATGTTTGGGGTAGTTTACTATAGCATGCTATGACCAAAAACCAGTCTTTCATGGAGAAATTGCCAAAGTCACGATTTCTGCGATGTCATAAATATTTAAAAATCGATATTAAAAAAAGTAATTAGGCAATCGCTACCAAAGTACGGCTAACCTTAGATAAATATATAGGGCATCATTTGCCACTATGATTAGGGCTCTCGGCCTTCCGATTTTTGAGATCTCGGAAACAAACCTTTTTTGAGCCCGTTTGGCCATTAGCGACCTTGACCTTGACCTACTTGCATAAAAGTAGGTCATTATCTGTGGATTTGTCTCAGTATCATTGACCATAAGGCCCTTAGCCATATGGCTTATACTTTAGGCCTAATGGCAATTTCAAATTTCATAAGATTTGCCTTTAAAAGCCCCTGTGACCTTGAAAAGTAGGTCAAGGTCACTGAAACTGGGTCTGTGGCATATTCTTGCCATGGGCTACCTATGATAATTATTTCAGATTTTTTGCGAAAAAAAAACGCGCGGAAAGAATAATAATAACTATAATACTACCAAAAACAATAGTATTCCCCTATGGGGAATCCTAATAACTATAATACTACCAAAAACAATAGTATTCCCCTATGGGGAATCCTAATAATAAATAGAAAATGAGTGAGATAGAAAGTGTGATCTTTGAAAGGAGAGAGAGAGAGACGGAAGGAGGGAGAGTAAGAATTTGGTATAGATGAGTGAGTGATTAAATATATCTAAGTGGGGAGTGAATCCATGCAATATTCTGTCATTTTTTAAAGGTATGCTGAAAAGGAGACACGAATGAAGTATTTAAAAAATTATCGGCAAGCGAATCACTTACAATCATTTTAGCCACTATTCAATTCACCTAGATATTTTTGCGGAAGAAATTAAAATTGCCGCGATAAAAAATTAATTACTTCATGAAAGTAACTCCCATTTTGTGTTTTCAATTTCTGAAACGCTCTGCTTCGTGTTTCCAGATAAAATGGCCATGACAAGGGACCATGTTCGTCTTCTCAAAAGGCATCGGTGCCATCTGGTGGACAAAATCAGCAATGAATCGGTGAAAGACATATTGAACTTTTTGGAACAAGAAGGTATTTTCACAAACCGTGAAGGGGAAGCTGTAAAAACTATGTCAACAAAGGAAGAAATGGTGGGGAAATTATTGGACATTTTAAGCGGGAAATCTGAGAAGGCATACCCATTGTTTCGACAATCCTTAGAAAATTGTTGTTACGGGCATTTGTCTGAAATGCTCAAGTAAATGTTCGTCGATGGAGGAAAAAATAGCAAAAATCTTCCTGTTCGTTTTGAGATGGCCACGAATGATTGACACGAACTGACAACAACGTTTCTTAACATTGATTTGCCATGTTGTTAGTCGGCTTCGATAAGCAATAGAAGATAATTCGATAATCTACAAGTTAAAGTACTTTGTGTAGAAGGAAAACCAAGCGTATGCCTCATTGGTCTGCCGCAATTAATTTTTTAAAACTGGACAGCAGACCTTTTCTAGGCCAAGAAGGTGGTTCGTTCGAACCCTCTCTTTATTCCTCCTTCATTCCTTATATTCCTTATGCAAGCTGTGACTTCAGGGACCACTTCACGTTTCATCAGGACACACACGACGTGGCGGATTTTTTTTTTCTGCAGAGACGAAACTTTTTGTGGATCACACAATCATGTTCGCTTCCTGAGTACATTCTGCTGTTAATTGTGTATAAATTTGCTGACATTTGGCGGTGTCTTTTGAAATTTATGGACACTTTTATCCACGTGGAAATCGCTGTATATCACCACTAATGTCGTAAATTTGAATAAATGATTATGAATATATTATCAATATATAGATATCTGTACCAGTATTTGGTTTTTCTGTGCCAGAATTCGTGTTAGATAAGGTATCTGGGGAAGTGTGTGTGTGTGTGTGTGTGGGGGGGGGGGGGGGGGGGGGCAGGGAGAGAGAGAGTGCATGCATGTCACAGGGGCGGATCTAGATATATTTTCTGACAGTCTTCCGAGTTATCTTTGTTGATCCAT